CTTGAAAATAGCCTGCCTCCACATCATATAGGTCTTTATAGGTGATAATAAGCACTTGATGGCTTCATTTGGTTTGTGCATGGCAGAGATCAGCTGAGTGTCATCAACATACTAATCTCACCAAGCAGCTTCATATAGATATTAAATAGGAGTAGGAAGGAGAAATCTGAGCACCCATAAAGCCTGGGTTTTGATAGAAATCTTTTGTGTTGCCATTGACACTAACTATATTTTTTCCTGGAGAAAGTAGGAGATCATTGACCAACATAGAGCCAAATCAGACCTCGCCCAGTCACCTACACCATATCACTGTAGTCCAGAAGTTGGTTTATATCACAGATCTCACTGCTACTGTTTGTTCTGCTATCTGGAGAAGACATGCCAAATGGACTGTTGCTACCATATTGTCTGCCGATCTCCAACAACTGAGCACTGGAGTCTCCGTTTTTGCCATACAACTGATAAGCAGCATGACTATAAGCCCAGCTCATTGGAAGAGTCCACTGCTGCTCCTGCCACCATCAAAGGGTTCAGACCAACAGACCTGGATAGGTCTTGTTCTCGTCCCAGCTGTTCTACAGTTCTGCCTCTCTGATCATCCCAGACTGTCACAGTGGCACTGTGCTTCTTCAAGCTTTATAACCATGAGACATCACAGCACAGCTTCCAACTCTTAGCATTGCTGAAGTATATCCACTCAACACCCCACCTCTTATCATCCATAACTTCCTAAACCCCCAACTCCTATATGCTCTGCAGACACAAATTCAATCTTGATGTCCTTACAAAATAATTTTCCCCTGCCCCCAAAATATTTCAAAGACATGTATACAGTTTATAGTGTTCTATACAATCAGTGTCCCATACATGAGAGTGATTGAAATGGTTATGAGCTTACAGCTGTCCCTCCCATGTCACCAATTTATTACAGAAGGAACATGTGCAGTTAACAATGTAGATGCAGCCATTTATAAATGCACCTAATTTTAATCAAAAGAGTAATTGAATATTGGAAACATAGTCAATTTAAATAAAAAAGCATTGATTTGTTATGACTCATTAACTAGTCAATGGATTATGTCTTATGTTTCCATAGCATTTATGTTAATGGACCTGTTTGCATCTCACCAGTTCTGGACTGGATACGCTGTCTACTTGGTTTTTATAGCCATCATGCCCAGTAACAACCCTATATCTAATTATACTGTTTGCAAAATGCATTTCTACATATTTTTCCCTAGTGCTGCCTTTTTCCTTCTCTTTTCCATTAAACAGGAAATGTTCATTTCTTCTGCTATCAGCATCTCTTTTTGGTCTGTTGGGAAAATATTTAGTAAGGTATTATCCTCACAGCTCATTAGGGAATTAGTCGTTTGTATATGAATATAGATGCTTTTGGCTTTCCAGCAGTCTTCCAAGGAAAGCTCTTAACAAAAATACATTTTAGCAGTGCAATCAAAGAAAGCAAAGGGCTTTGCATATTCAGGGCTTTTATTTGCACCGTTCTCTCTTTTCCATTTTTTTTATTGATTCTCTCATGTACACCAAGAGAGAACAAGGTAAAGATTTTTAAAGGGTAATTGAGAAGTGAATTCTTTTGTTAGTGCTATTCAAGGATCTGTAACTGAAGCTGAATCTTTCAGAGTGCCCACAGAGGCAAAGTAACTAGTGCACACTCCATAAAAACCAATGTGATCCTCATGATTATATCTTTTTCTTTAGAAAAAAAAAAGGTCCCACAGACTGATCCTGCATATATACAGATTTTTTTTAAGGTTGAGGGAGTGGGAGGAAGTAGAATCCTTTACAATCACAAAGCTTTAGGAAAGTTCTTTCTTACTATTTGATATTTGGAATTGTGGGGAAAAAAGCATTGTGATGAAGTAATCCTATTCTTTTGTCTTCATATTTTTGTATGCAATTTTTGATCCATAAAACATTTCAGTAGAGTTGCTAATGGATTTCATGAATTATATCCCTGTCTCTATCATACTAGATAGTAGCTTCATTAATCACAATGTTTTGATTTGAAAACCGCAAATTACAGCATTCTTTTGCATCAAAAGAACGCTGTACAACAAAATCACATTCTAATGGAAGAATGTGCCCCATACATTGTTTTCTTTTTTGAATCAATATTTAACACTACATCTACCAAAATCTCACTGGAATGTTGGAGAGGGGGGAGGTGATATCTCCCCAACTTTTAAAGTGTTATATATCGGCAAACACTGAGTCTCCCCTAAACATGCTGCTATTTTTATTACTTTTTTTTTTTTTAGTAAACCTGGCTTGTGATTGTCTCTGTCAGCATTTGTAGTTTATAAGAGATAATGATTTTTTTTTTGTAAAAGTTTATTTTTTTATTTTTGGATAAACAAAGACAAACAAAACACAAAACATAAAACCTTCATCATTTTACATATAGCATGTCGTTTGGTTACAGGCTTTTGTGCATCAACACTTTCAGTTATATATAAAATCACATATTATCCATCAAATATACATTGGTACATTTTTATCATTATACTTTATTTGTTTAGCTACAATTATTATTCCTTCATTTTGAACAAAACATTCTAAGTATTGAATTCATATATACACCAACATTCCATTATATCATTCTTAGTCTATTTAATAATAATATGCCTTTATAGTATCACTTATATCATTCTATTATTCTTACAATATAAAAAGATTCTCCAACATTTTTAATTACCATGTTTTTTTTTATCTAACCACTGATAGAACAAATTCCATACTTTATAAAATTGTTCATCTTCTTGTTCTCTAATTTCAAATGTCAATTTACTCATTTCAGCACATTCCATTATTTTTCGAATAACTTTCTCCTGTGTTGGTGTTTTCTCATTTTTCCAATTTTTTGCAAATACAATTCTAGCTGCTGTTAAAACATTTACAATCAAATATTTTAAATCTTTATTGTATATTTCCGGTATAATTCCCAATAAAAAAATCTCTGGTTTAAAGTCTATGTGTTTTTGTATCATTTTCTCCAACCACGTGTGGATTTTAGTCCAATAGCTTTTAGCTTCTATGCAAGTCCACCACATATGGTAATATGAACCCGGTGTCTGATGACATTTCCAACACTTTTCTGATTTGTTCTTAAACATTCTTGCTATTCTCGTCGGGGCTAGATGCTACCTGTAAAACATCGTATACAAATTTTCCTTATATGCTGTTGACATTGTCATTTTATAATTTTGAAACCACAATTTCTGCCACTTTTCTAATTCAATCCCATGTCCAATATTTTTCCCCCAAGCTATCATAGGTTCTTTAACTTGTTCTTCCTCTAGCTTAACCTCTAATAAGTGTCCACATAATTTTTAATTGCTTTTTCATCAGCACCTGTCAGAATTTTGTCTAACTCGGTCATTTTGTCATAAAAAAACCTTCTGTTTTATGATCTTTATCATATCTAGATCATATTTGCACATCTGAAAACCAATTCATCCTTATTCCTTCCTGTTCCAATTCTTGCATAGATTTAAATTCACCCTCTGCATTCAATATTTCACCATATATAACTGTTTGTTCCTTTTTATATATTATTGGATATTAAAAAGCTTCAATAGTTGATAGCCAAACTGGAATTTTTAAATAATATTGCCTTTTAATCTTCACCCAATTTAATAACAAAGCCTCCCATAAGTAGTGTCTTCTAAAATACCCCTGCATTTTAGTTCCCTTGTACCATAAAAAAGCATGCCATCCCAACAATAAATCATGACCTTCTACAGTCAGTAATCTAGAATTCCTTAATGTTATCCACGAGAGATAATGATTTTTTGAATGCCTGTATGGAACCCTAAAATTTTACAGTTCAAATTATAGAACATTTTTTTCAGCTCTGCGGTGTACATAGTTCCTTTCCCTCAAAATAGAGCAAATGTACCCTGTTTCCCTGAAAATAACACCTCCCTAGATAATAAACCCAACCAGGCTTTTGAGTGCATATGCTAAAATAAGCCCTCCCCTGAGAATAAGCCCTCCTCGAAAATATGGCAACACAGCAGCAGAAATGAGGTGACCATGCTCGCAGAAGTGCACAGTTGATTTCCATTGAATTAAGCCAAGGCTGCCCTGTACTTGCTTTCCTGCATATTTCTCACAGACTCCCTTTCACAGCAGATCCACTCTCTTTATGTTGCAAACTAAGTCAGTTTTGTCTTCTTTAGTTTTGCAGTTAGCCAGAGCCCTTGAATCATACCCTGCTGGCTCTTGTGCCTTTGTGGCTATCAAATGGACATCACCACTCTTCCGTGGATTTTGAATGAGGAANTGACTTAGATGCTTGGAGTATAATCCCGAGACAGGAGAATACCGGCATGCCCATGCTTTTCCTACGATTTTCTAATTTCTACCCTCCACCATCACAGATCCACCGTTTTTCATGCTTTAGCGCTCTGTTGCGTTCCCAAGCCTTGTGCCTTGGCTGTTTATAGTTGTTTTTTTTTAAATCTAAAGGGATATTCAAATGTTTAACGTACCCACGATTAGAGCAAAAATATTTTGCCACTAATTTACGGTACTAGTATCAACTTGGGTCTCCAAAGATTTAAAAGGCGCGCACACACACATGCACAAAACAAGCCACGCTTGTTTCCATTTCGCCGCGGGCTGCATTTTTTGCAATCTAATCCTGACTGCTGTAATTGACGCTGGGGGGGAAGCACGATTGCGGGGCTAAATCATAACTTCAATCATCATCATCATCATCATCATCATCATCATCATCATCATCCCTTAATTTTCCACAGCGCCTTTCTCTTAACTTAGCACTATAAACAATGTTGAGACGGGAAAGGACATCTGATAGGATCTAACCGAGATTCACCCGTCAGTCACTTATTAAGCTACGCAAGACACCCGCCCGGATGAATATTTTGGTAGCACACATTGCTCGGTTGGAAGTCGGAACTCCTCATCTGGGGAGGCGGAGAGGGGGGGGGAAGCATTTGGGTGCACTAGAGGCCGGAAGTGAACGCATCCCGCGTGGTCGCGCCGGCGAGAGGAGCCCCGAGGAGGAGGACGCGAGTATTATGGGGAGGCCGAGCAAAGTGAGGACCGGAGGCGGGGATGGAGGGCTCCTTGAAAGGCCTCGGGAGATGTTGACCCGAGGAGGAGGGCGCGAGTGTTATGGGGAGGCCCAGCAAAGTGAGGCCCGGAGGCGGAGGGCTCCTTGAAAGGCCTCGGGAGAGGTTGAATTTGGGGCCAAGGCCGGGTGTGGTGACGAGGGTGATGAGAGTGGAGAAGGAGGGTGCCTTGAGAGGCGGTGGAGGCCGGCATGGGCGCTGCGGCCGAATGGTGAACTAGTGAAGGACGAAACCTGAACAAAATAAAATAAAGGATTGATTATTGTTAATTTTAATCGAATTTTAAATGTTACTGTTAATCTTAATTGGGTTTGTTTTTTGGATACTCTTAATTTTTTTAAAACTTTTGTAATATGTGTCTTTTTTTTTAATTGAAAATTTTTGGAAAAAAAAGCTTTTACAAAAATTTACCTCCCCCCCCCCCCCACGACTTCCCAGAACAATTACAGGGTATAAATCTTTAACAAAGATGTTCTAAAATAAACTTAAAGTTAGTATCATCTGTGTCTTTTTTAATGTTGTACGCCACCCTGAGTCCTTGGGAGAAGGGCGGCATATAAATCCAATAAACAAACATAAACAAACAAGCCCGATTAGCGAATGATAAAAGATTTAGAAAACTCATTATTGTTGGCCTGATGCGAGATTGTTGTGAGGCATCTATCTGTGCCCAAGAAAACTTCATGCGTGTGTCTTATTTTGTGAGAAACTAATAATTGTTCGACCTTGATTGAAATCCCTCCCAGTTATAAAGTTGCTCTGCTTCTTAATGTGAGGTTCTGAGGTATTTTTCCACGTTTATTAATAGAACCGTTTCACCTAGTATCTTTTTCCCCCTACTGGCTTGCTCTTCCTGATACCTGGGTAATTCCAAACAAAGCAAATAATACAGTAAAATTGCTTTTATGACCAGCGTGGTTTTGAAATAGTTAAAAATCTCTTCCTGCTCTGGAGTTTTTAGGGGAATAATTCATTATTGCATATATTAGATTGTTAAGAGAGTGTGGAAACCATCAGCAGTTTCTGATCTTCTTTACAGCAGTTAAAAGTCCAGCTGTGGAGGCTATGAGAAAGTAACCTGCAATAATTTGGTATGGAATGGGATATTTGTTTCGCATATCTTAAACCCTACTAGTGTTATTCTTTATCCAATTTGTTTTTCCTTTTCAGACTAAGAATCAAAAGAAGGAGCGAGCATCTGCCCAGCATCGATCTCAGGAGGAATATGGCTCCGTGCCTCACTCCTTTGTGTTTCATCGAGGTCGTATTGGTAAGAATATACAGCAACTCATCCAAGATGTTCGGCGAGTGATGGAGCCCTTTTCTGCTACCAGCCTCAAGGTGAATTATTAAATGCCATGGAAGGCTACTGTGGTTCATGGAAATAATTGCTTTACAGGCAGTGCTCGCTTAACAACCACAATTGGGACTGGAATGTCGATCGTTGACATTGGGGTCATTTTCTAAATTCTATTTGAACAGTTGAAAATATTCTTTCCAGAAGCAAATATTAATTATGTAGATTTACATGTTTATGGAAACAATCATGTTATACAAAACATGTTTATGCTTTATTCAAGTTATGATTGCATTTTATTATCAAAGCAGACTACAAAATGAGGTGGGGACAGCACTTAAAAGTGTGAGCAGCTATAATAGAAGAAGGAAAACAACTTGGCTAAATATTGTAACATCA